TTCTGCGTATTTGAGAAAAAAAGTATCTGGTGATAAAATCTCTTGCAAATGTTCATTTATCTCTAGTAGAAGAAATCCTTGCTGTCTTACTCTGTCTTGATCTGTTCACTAACTGCCATCTAATTGGGAAGATTTGTTAGTCCATCAATATTGATACACATTTTATTATGCATATATTTTTCTTTCATGTAGCTTGAAACCCTTTTCCTAACGTGAAGCTGATCCTTCCATTGTACAACAAAAATTTGACATATTTGTTCACATTCTTGGAAGTTGAATAAACAAACTGTAGTATTTCTGATGTTGCTGTGCAAGTAGTAGAATTTGGTTGAGTCATTTTTATTTCTCAAAAAGAGGCATTAGGAGCAAGTTACCTTTTCATCGTCTATATTGTCAGTGCTTTTCCATGCCTTATGCTGTTTAGCTTAAGTTTGTTATGATTGCCAAGAAATGTTACTTAAAAAGATAGTGTCTCATGAATGAATTCTGGATTATCAGTTCAGTCATATTACAAAAAAATTTCAGGTGCGACTCAGCAGTGCTATCTGGATTCGTGCTAATGTTTGTTGCGAGCATCATGTGGATGAAGCTTGTCTCTTATGCACATACAAATTATGATATAAGGGTATTGTCCAAAAATACTGAAAAGGTAATGCATTGACATGTTAATCTGAATCAGTTCAAATATTTTGTTAACAGGGTTGTACATTTCTCAAAATTGATTTGTTGACGATCAAACTTTTCTTAAAACTCCTTTTGGTGGCCAAATCTTTCTGAAGCTAGAATATGCTCCACTTCCTGTTTAAACTTCTTTCCAGTTTCATTTCCTGAATGTTTTCTATCTAGTTTCAATTTTTTCATACGATGAAATGTGGTGCCAATTAATTTATGTTACCATCAGGAGGGTCAAGCATTTTTCTTAGCTTCTCATACAGTGTTTTGTTACATAGGCTGACCATATATACTCTTAGGCCATTTTTCATGCAAGTAACTACTATTGCTTGTTGGCAAAGACACAGGTTTGGGAATTTTTTCAATATTACTTAGCCACACTAATCCATGGCTGCTTCTTGGTTCTATATAGAACCAGAGGTCTGCTTTTGCAACTGGAAAGTAAAACAAACTTGCAACAACTAAAGTACAGATAAGATTCTAAAGTGAAGATAAGGTGCCATGACATAGGCACTAACTACTACTACTTATCCTAGAGATGGAGCTCCAAAATATCAAGAACACAAGGCTTATTCCTTCATTGCTATTCTTATTTTTAGGGTGCTGCATATGGAAATTATGTCGAGCCTGAGAGTATGAAAGATCCAACCTTTAAAAGTCTAGCGTACTTCATGTTGGCCCCAACACTTTGTTACCAGGTACTATTCTTGGACCAAGTGCCCTGTCTTTGTTTTTAATGTCTGCATTCTGCATTTCTTCATCACATCTATCTAGTTATGCCAGTGACAAAACATGAATTTCCTGATGTCACTTTGGCATGTTATGCAGCCAACTTATCCTCGAACTACATGTATTAGGAAGGGTTGGGTGACCCGACAACTTATAAAGTGCCTGGTTTTTACAGGCTTGATGGGCTTCATAATTGAGCAAGTGAGCCTTCTATATTCCTTCAGTAACTTCTATTTATACAGAACTTTGGATTAAATTATCAATTTCTTCTATTTTGCAGTATATAAACCCAATTGTGAAGAATTCCAAACATCCACTGAAAGGGAATTTCTTGAATGCTATAGAAAGAGTCTTAAAACTCTCAGTGCCAACATTATATGTATGGCTTTGCGTGTTCTATTGCTTTTTTCATTTATGGTTAGTATCTTGCTTCAGTTCAACAGTACCTTAAATTTGTCAGATACTGATTGGTTTATATAATAGGTCAATTGAGTTTTGACCTGCACTGGACCTTGATATTTCGTTTTCCATGGTTTTCTTGTTTGCTCTTTTGGTTTGGTTTCAGGCTGAACATTCTAGCTGAACTGCACTGGACCTTGATATTTCGTTTTCCATGGTTTTCTTGTTTGCTCTTTTGGTTTGGTTTCAGGCTGAACATTCTAGCTGAACTCCTCTGTTTCGGTGACCGTGAATTCTATAAGGACTGGTGGAATGCCAAAACTGTTGAAGAGGTGAGATGCCTGTTAAAAGCTGAGTTCGTTTCTTTCCGATTGAGAACTTTAAATAGGACTGACATTAATTATATTGTCATGCACTTTAATGCTATGGTATTTTGGGGCTCTACCTCAGTACTGGAGGATGTGGAACATGGTAACCTTCTTCTTACTTCCATCTTCATATTGTATACCCTTTCATTTAGTTGAGAATTCCTTAACAAAGGACAGTTGTGATGTTAGTGATACTCTTTTATTTAGTGGAGACTAACTAAGGACAGTTGTGATGGTAGTGACTGATAACCGCTGTCACTGAGCTCGAGATATTTGTCTAATTAATTGATATTGGTATACTTTGAGTAACTGACAATTACTCTACTTTTTGTCAGCCTGTTCATAAGTGGATCATCAGACACATATATTTTCCATGTATAAGGAAAGGCTTTTCCAGGGTAATTGCTTCTATATGTCTACAAAACTCTACATTGGTTCTTTTTTGCTTTTGAATTCTCCAAATGCAGTTTAGTTTGAAACAATTACTCAATCCGTCTATGCAAAACAGTCCCAAAGTAATATCTTTACTTTCCACATCGATGCTAATATATATAGAATTCACAATATACAAATGTTGTTCTTTTGAAAATGGGGAAGCAGGGTTTGACAGAGTATTAGCACTCAATCATCATAATAACAATGAAGACAACTGAACAAGTGGCTGAAACTGTCAAGAGTTAATTCTCATTACCAAATTGATTTACTATGCAAATAATATTTACTGGAAACAAATAGTGATAAGTTTAGAAGACTGATTGGATAAAGATTTTAAGTAAAAACAAAGGATATCTGGTATTGACTTTGCAACAATTTCTTCATGCTGCCTTCTGCCGACTGACTGATGTAAATTAGACAATGTGAATACCTGAACATACATAAAATTTTGTGGATCTTTTATATTTTTCATTTTTGCAGAACTGACATGATTTTCTCATGCCTACTTCTCAAATTCATATTGTATCTACACTGCAGGGTGTAGCTATTCTAATCTCATTTCTCGTTTCAGCTGTATTTCATGAGGTACTGAAGTTCTTCAGAAGTCTTATTATGTAATAGTATATACTTAGTTTATGGTCGTTTCAATTTCATTTTTTACCTTAGACATGCTCTTGTTCGAATTCCGCTCAGCACATTACCGGCAATATGTTTGACCTTTCGTATGCACGTGCCAATTTATCATCATGACATTCCTTTTTATATTGTGAATTCACAGATATGTATTGCGGTGCCGTGCCACATTTTCAAATTCTGGGCATTTTCTGGGATCATGTTTCAGGTATAGAAGTAACACCAATATGAACTACTCCCTCCATTCCAAATTATTAAGTCATTCTGGCTTTTCTAGATACATAGTAAGATTGTAGTATCTAGATCGATACTGTGTATATCTAGATGTGTAGCAAAAGCTACGTATCTAATAAAGCTAGAACGACTTATAATTTGGAATGGATGGAGTACTACGTATAATCCTCATATCCCTGTTTTTTCTTTTGAGTTCCATCAGTGTCTATTCCCTTACGTTTTGATATCCCTCGTTGCATCCATAAGAACAGTACTACGTCTTGGATACAATACTTCCACTCTTCACATTGGCTGACACCATTGATGTCTGACTCAGATACCGTTGGTATTCTTGACAAGATATCTCCAGGCTACGTTCAAGAATATAATGGTATGCTGTGTCAATTATGTCTTTTTATTGCCTTCTCCCACTACCTAACCATCATCTTGGCAGGTGGGCAACATGATATTTTGGTTCTTCTTCAGTATAGTCGGGCAGCCGATGTGTGTCCTTTTATACTACCATGATGTCATGAACAGGCAGGCCCAGGCAAGTAGATAGTTCGGCAGAAACATGTACTTTAACACAAATTATCAGAAGCAACTGGAGAGACGCAGCAGGAAGCATCAGCAGCAGCAGCAGCCCCCCTTTGACATTGTTACCATCAGCTAGCTAGTCAGCTTGCAAATGCTCCTGTTCCAGGCGGCCGTGCTGGGGATGCAGCGTGTACATTACCATGCAACGTCAACGGTTATCAAGCAGTGCTCGTCACATGTGGACTCTGTACACTTTTCAGTCTATATGTCAGCAGTGCTGTGTGCATAATGTCGTGTTAGATGTAATATATACAATGTATGGCACGACTTGAGGTCAAAATGAGCTCCCAAATGAAAGAAGGCTCACGTCTTGGGATACAGGGAGAACGACTTAACAGACATCAAAACCTGATGAACTTGTTCTGAGCCCTGACATATGGCTTCTTGTGATACTGTCACGTCGTGTACAATTGTACAAACATTACTGGAAGGAATAACGAATCAGCATCCCTTTTAGATGTGTGTATTTTCTTTGCGAGAAATTTGGGTGTCTTGGCCAAACTTGCACACAGTTGAAGGCATGAATCGGCCCTTACTCATGGCCTCAGTTATGGTGGCTTGGTCTTGCGCTTTGTGTGAAAAAAGTCATATCTTGTTTAAATTGTCTTAGAATAAAATTTTCGAATCCTTACATTTGTGGACGTTGATACTGGGAGTTGGAGAGGGAAAAGGAACTTTCAAACGCTCAATTAATCATTGTGGAAGCAAGAAACCTGACAATCCAAACGATGCTTGACGCAGAACTTACGTACTTCTTGCAAACCGTCCAAAGAGCCCAAGACATCAGAAGGTCATGGCACTGCATTCATCCCTGACATCTGCAAAGAGATCGGAGTTCATGTACACTCGGGAGCATGGTGACAATCATCTCCCCCTTGTTCTCCTCCCCGCCAGCAATCTAGCAGGCAGCAGGCTCACGAAAATCAGCATATTCATAGTACCAGAGCAGCCTGTTCAAATCCAAGAGGAGTACACCACTTGCTGAGATTTCGAGCATTTTACCTTCAGGCAAGCAGCGACATTTGCACCGGAAGATATGCCGACAAGCAGCCCCTCCTTGGCCAGCCTTCTTGCCATCACCATGGCTTCCTCTGTGGTCACCGTCACAACCTCATCGATGATTGAAGTGTCCAGGACTTCGGGTATGAAACCTGGCGCCGTGCCCTGGATCTGGTGTTTCCCCGGTGCGCCACCTGCTCAGTATAACAAATATGTTATCATGTAGTACATAGACAGAAAGTTGGGTTATTTGTGAAATTACTGCATGAACCAGTTGTTGGTTGATCCTTTTAGTTTTATCTGTCCAGTTCTCTCAAGCAAGTATAGATAGCTGAAATTACAGAGAGGTCATGTGGTTACCTGAAATTACAGCACTTTCTGCAGGCTCGACGCACACTATATTTACTGATGGATTTTTCATCTTCAGGTACCTTCCTACGCCTGTCAATGTGCCTCCTGAACCAACTGACGCCACAAAAACATCCACTTTGCCTGCTGTGTCTTTCCATATCTCGGGTCCTGATGTTTTCAGAAAATGACCACATCAACTGTATCAATCTATGATACCCAAGACTAGTTTCCAAGACAAAATTAAATGGCTCTTAATTGAAGATAAAGCTACAGTTGTTATTGCAAAGATGGCCTTTTTCTGATATTAGTACCTGTCCATTTGAAGTGTGCCTCTGGATTTGCTGGGTTAGTTGCTTGATTCAGAAAATATGAATTTGGTATGGTCTTAAGCAGCTTTTCCACCTTGTCGACCATTCCATCATACCCAACTGCAGGATCTGCAGCAAATGAAAGACAGGCGTTACTTAGAGCTTACCACTGGAAATTTAACCTGAAAATGTTCTGCAAGAGAAAGAACAATCTATAGTATTAATATAACCAGGAAAGCACAAAGAGAGGAAAGCACAAAGAGAAGAACAAATGTTCCACAGAGAATATGGCTGAAACAAAAATACTACACGAGGCAATTCTTTCTGGGTTATTTTTGTTTATAGTAGCTGAGCCTGAGATCCTACTTCTCAATCTCACCTGTTAGTACTACTTCCGCGCCCAAAAATCTTAACAGCATCTGTTTGTCAAGTGAATACTTAGCCGGCATAACAGCAATGAACCGGTAGCCTTTCTGGACAGCAATGAACACTAATCCAATACCGAGGTTGCCGCTTGTCGGCTCAATCAGTGTCGTAACGCCAGGTGAGATGAGGCCCCTTTTCTCTGCATCTTCAATCATCCTGCAGCAGACAGGATCCACTCATGTGACTGCTGTGGTCATTTCTAATACTAGCAAGACTTTTGTGGTCATTATCTATAAAATTTCTAATACTAGCATGCCTCTTCACAAAATTTACAGGAAAAATATGCCACGTATTCATTAATTGTATACAGCAACATGGTTGGAGTGTATGTGAGTTTAATAACACACCGGAGAGCATTCCTGTCCTTAACCGAGCAAAGGGGTTGGTATGTTTCCATCTTGCCGACCAGCCGTGTGTTACGACCAACGATAGGTTTGTATAGAATTTAGGCAAGTAGCAGTAGATCGGAGTGGAGGAAGGGAAAGCAAAGCATGAGGACGGGTTCAGGAGAGAGCTTGCAGGAGAAGGCAAGATGGTTTGTTACAATGATCCTGACGATCCTCTCTCCTTTCGCCTATTACATATATATGAATCTACGGTAAGCTGCTGGTTCACGCCGCAGCCCATTCGGCGCCCGCCACCCGCTTGTTCTGCTTCCTTGCCCTGTTGGACCTTCTTGGAGACGTCGGCCCAGGCCCAGGAGCGGAGTCTTCAGTCGATGTTGTCGGACGCTGAATAGTATGCCGTGCCGTAACACCGTGCTTCTATGCCCTCTCTTTTACCAATGTTGTTCATTTCTACCAGTGGCGTCCAACCTATCAGCTGAACACAAGGAAAAAAAACATGCTCAATTCTGCCGCTAAGAATCAGACAACTAAGGTGAGCAATTTGAGAGCACAGACAAAGAAGGAGAGAAACTCCAGCATGCGCACAGCGCACCTGGGTGATGTTGGAGGCAATGCACTCCTCCCCGGGCTGCGAGGAGAGCAAGGACGGGACGCCTTTCCTCGCATCGCCCTCCGCTGCCATTGCCATGCCGCCTTCTCCGATCCTCCTGCACTGCACGGTTCCTGCGAGTGCGAGCTCTCTTGTCGTCGCTGCTCCTGCTGGGAGATCAGCAGTGGCGCCCTCTATTTATTATCACGGCTCGGGAATCAGGACAAGCTCCATTATCTGAGACTTCGCCATCTCCTGACAGCACGCCTCAACAGCCGATAGATAGTGCATCAGGATAATGGTTGGCTTGTGACATCACAAATCTTCCTCTAAACGGAAGGACCGAATGAGGCACGTTGCCGAAAAAGGATACATATATGTATCCACACACTGCGCTTATTGACATCGTCGTGGTCCAAAGGGAATCGCAAAAGTCTTCCACGACCAACCAATCCCGGTGATGGCGCATTGGCACCGTTCCAGTCAACTGTACCGAGTACTTGTGCAGGCAGAGCGAGGGGCGGCGTGCACTAGTGCGTGGCGGTGGCCTCACGATCACGCAGATGCTGCTGAGACGCAGCGTCTTGGTGGAGCGTAGCCCTCTCGTGGCGGGTGACACTAATCACACTTACCAAAAGACTGTGACCCATCAGTCCATCCCATGATGCATATATATGGTCTCTTCGCTGTGCTTTTTTTTTTCTTCCAAATCACTGTCCTTTTCTTACTCTTATGAACTTACCTACGGCTAGCTAGATATGTTTGTAACCAGCATCTCCAATTGAATATGGGCTCGCCAATTCACCAATCAACCAAACTGAAGGCACAAAAAAAGAAAAACCTAGCTTACCAGCAGTATGTGTAACGATCTATTCAATTGAATTCATCGCGTTAATTATATTCCGCTTTCAGTTTGTCAACTCACAGGGAAAACAAAAAAGTTGCATTTTTCCTATCTTTGGTCTGTTCTCTATTAACTCTAGTAGCAAAAGAGTTGCTTTTTTTGATCTTTGGTCTCCTATGTGTAATCTTTGCTTATATTTTATCTTACCCACTGTATTTTAGTTGGTCCTGTAATCATTCTCTACAAATTTATTTACCGAGAAAATCCAAACCGGTAGATCCTCGATGTTAACATCAAAGTAGACACAATCAAGTACATTATGGGTGCGTTTGGATGGCGCCTCACAACGCCACGCCGACACTGCGGCCGCGCCAAAAGGGCGGCGCTGAAATTGTTAGCCACATTTTCGGCAAGTTTGGGCAGCAAAAATGAACTAGAGGGGCACGGCATGTCGCAACTGCGGTAGCGAAGCAAATGTTGCCCAAACTGTGGCGCGGTGCGGCCGCCATCGAAATGTGCCCTAAACTTGTTAGGATCATAGCCAAAAAGCAAATGGTATGAGTTGCAAGAGAGAGTGGCATCTCGTGCTATAGGCTTGTCTCCCGTAAGAACACCCACAGTGTGTCGAGGCTTTAACGTCATTACCTCTGCATATACCCCAATGTTCAGTTTCATTTTTTTTCTCTGCAGTGTTTAAGCATCGGGTAAAGTGGGCCTTCTAGCAAATAAAGAGATAAAAAAATTCGCTTCGCTAAAAAGATAAGCCGAAAAGTACCTTTCGCTAATTTGTTGTGAGATAAAAATATTATTCCTTCGCTGGAAAAGTACGGCCGAAAAGACAAGCGAACAGTGCAGAGCGTGAGCCAGCGAAATGATTCTTTTTATTGGTCAAGCCTCGATGCCTATAGAGTCAACGACGCTAGAATTTTTGGATCAAGCCTCGCTCTGCACAATGTACAAACCGATGATCGGTGAGAACTTCAAGCATCGTTTTGAGGATACACTGTGGGTGCTTTAAGGCCATAATCCCATGTGCCTCTTGTTTGGGCTGAATTCGACAGCGCAAATAGGCCGTACTAACCGTCGAGCTAGAGGCCATTGAGGTTCTCACGGCCCACCACACAGCACCATTGGCATTGTGGAGCCGGAGGCCTGCACGGCTTGGGCGCAAGTAACTTGGACGTGGCCATCTCCATAGCATGTACTCTGAGTGTGTGAGCGCAAAGAGACAGCAAAAAACATCAAAATTAACAAGCTAATTACTAACAAGCATTCTGTCGAACACCTTATGTGTATACAACAAAACAGCCACATAGTATCAAATTTTCAAACACGGTGTTGTCTAAACTTCACAATAAGAAAAATATACTTAAAAGATCAGCACACTAACACATCAATATCCATCATAACATATCAAATAATCCATGTATGGCAACATAAATACCGAATCTCAACCATACACTATGAACTTGAACAAAATAGAACCAACAACAAGCAGGATAGGAATTAATCAAGTATGGCAAGATAAATATATAAAATCAAGTGTAGACACCAAGATTTACGTGGAAACCTCTTGCGTGGAAAAACCACAACCAGCGACGAGCAAGCAATCCACTATGAAGATGAAGATGGGAGCTAACAAGGCTAGGGAGGCTTTTAAATCCCCACAAATTTCACTCTTTCTAGTGGTGTATTTGGAAGATCAAAGCCTCATCCCCCTCTTTCAAACCCTAGCTCTCTTCCCCTTAAAAGCAAATGAACAAGACATACACAGGAAGGGGACCTCAGATAGCCCTGTTGGGCTAAAATGGACACTTTAGGGAAGATCCACCTAAGGATGGCAACAGGTACAGATTACCCGCGTGCCCGCGGGTAAAAATCCGGTAGGGCGAGGGTACGGGTGCATTGTGCCCATGGGTGTGGGTGTGGGTTTGTAGTTGAACCCAATGGGCATAGAAAACTTGTCCCCATGCTCGCTTCACCCGCAAACCCGCTCCAACCTCGTGACATGTAGGTCCCCTCGTACTATATATAAAGGAAGCAACTTAGCTTTATGATTCCCTCTGTCGTATCTATTTAAATACAAGAGAACCAATTTTATGTTGGTATAATGCTAGGTAGTTTTGGTTTCCATACTTAAATTCCTTTCTATAATCTCTGCATGTATTGTTGTTTTGTGGGTTCGCGGGTGTACCCGCGGGTATGTTGTGCCCGCGGGTGACGGGTGTGGGTGCAGACTTCTACCCGTGGCAAGTTGCGGGCACGGGTGTGGGTTTGGGATTCAACCCACGAGTGCGAGTCTATATGCATGTCTTCTACCCGCGGGTAATGTGCCTGTTGCCATCTATAGATCCACCAAAGTTAGAGATAGTTAAAAAAAGTATCTAGACACCGAATCAAATGTATAAGCACCATTTTGTATAATGTACTTTGCTCAAATAAACCTTAAATGATGTCAACGAAAGCTCCAACATCACATAGGCATTCAAATTGAAGCAATTGCTGCCCCTTTGACCACCTGCTCCCAAAGTCAGCATAACATGTCTGTATACAGTACAGAGAAAAGGCTATGTAGTCACTATGTGTGTGTGTGTGGGGGGGGGGTTGTAAAGTCGGAGGCGGTGCCGGAGAGATCGAAGCCAAGAACTAAGTTTGGGGATGAGTGCTGATGATCAACACAACGACACAAAGTTGATCTATGATCGAAGGAAAAAAATTGAGAAAAAAAACGTTCTAAATGACTACGTAAAGTAGTTATCGATATATGAATTGATGACACCCTCGCGACCTAGGTTCGAGACTCATGGGGTGTGTTTTGTTGGGTAGAGGCGTAAAAAATCCCCTCACCTGCTCCATGGTAAAGCACGGATGTAAGGCCAGCCCAATCTCACCAGAGCTACGGTACCGCTGTGTATTGGTAGGAGCAAGAGTTCGGAGGTTTTCTCGACCTACGTGAGAAAATCTTTTTTTGAGCATAATGCTTATAGGCTGCCACACCTCCCGCAGGTTAATATTTTTTTTTGAATTGATGACACAGTACTAAATTACATGTGTCCAGCCCCGATGGAGATCAAATCTCTTCAGTGGTGGCATGCGGAAGCACGGAGGTGGTGGGCGCTTTCGAGTTTGTATCAACGTATATATAATATAACTATATATACTAAAACATAAAATTACTTTGGCAGTTCGGACCTTGGCAGTCTTTTTTTTTTTTTTTTTTGCGAAATAGTTACCTTCGCAGTCTGACTTATAGCACTCAAAAATATACATGAATTGCCTTTGACAGTTCGGACCAGCAGTAAAAAAAATGTGAACTTACCACGATTTGACTTAGCACTCAATAATATGCATTTTCTTAGATGTTTCATATACCCTAAAAATAATGATATATTTTTACATTTCGTTTTTGCCCCTCAAAGAAATTGTATCTTGACAGTTCGGAGTAGCACTTAAGAAATATTAAATTACCACAGTTTGACTTAGCACTAAGAATATAAATTTTCTTAGAGGTTCCATACACCCTCAAAATTAATGATATATTTTTAGGGTTCCTTCAAGAAAATTGTTGCCTACTAAGGATATTCTATTTTCTAGTAGTATATGCGTTTTCAATAAGAAGAAAATGTACACCTAAATTTAAATTGAAGAAAAGTCGAACCAAGATGGTTGAGTACTTGAATACGATTTCCAGACAATAAAAACCTAGATGGCTCAGTACACGAATACACTTTCCACACAATCATTTGGATTATATACTGTCTGAAACATTATTTGGGGAAAAAGAGACGTGTGCATTGTCACGTCTCACGTGCAAAATCTAGCAGGTTCGTTTTAACTTGGGAACAGGTAGCTCCTGGACGTTCGGCGCTAGGACGCAGCTTGTGATTCCACCCATCCGATGCCGGTCCGCAACTGAAAAACAATTCAAGTGAGGGTGTCTGTCTCCGTGTAATGGAACGGAGCACGCACGTCACTCACGGCGGCCCGTCCCCGCCACGATGCCATCCCCCACCGTGTTCCGTCCCCCGCCCCCCCCATTCACCTTCGTGCCTGCTTTGTCGTGACCCATCCCTGACGTACCCCTGATGTCGTGCACATATATGCAACATCTAGATCTACTTTTAAAACATTTAGATATAACACTTGCAACATATCAAAGAAGACAGATGAAACACTTAAAACATGCGTCTAAAACACTTGCAAAAACACCTAAAAACACTTGAAAACTATTGCAAAACATACACAACATACAAATAAGACACTCGCAACATATGTGTGAAACATACGTGACATCATGAAACATGGGAAACATACGCTTGCAACGTACATTTGAAACACTTGCAACATCCCAATCTACTTTTACAACATCCAGATAAAACATTTGCAGCATACAGATGACGGTAAAATGTTACCTTGCTGCTTAGACGAATTGAAGCTGTCATTATGGAGCTCGACGCCGGCGCAGAGGTCGGCGGCGGCGCATGAAGCTCGCCGGTGCAGCAATGGTGCGGCCCTCCTGCGATTCCCCAACGCTGCTCGTGGCCTAGGCTCACGCCCATGGGCGGCGACACTGTTGCTGCTACTCTAGCGCCGCTGCTCGCTCGGCAGCCGTCCAGGTCGTCCGCTCCCGAGGGATGGGATGTGGAGCGGTCCTCCATGGGGTGCAGCGCGGTGGGGTGAAGGGCACGACGCGAATGGGGACCGAGGCACGGTTGAGGAAGGGGCCACGGTGGGGCGATCGGATGAGCAGCTAAACCGTGAGGGTGCGGATTTTTTTAGAGGACGATCATTGTAACGCTAGACAAGTGTTCCTGTAAACAAGTAAACGTGTTACAATAAACCAGTCTATAGTAACATGGCGAATTAGAACACAAAAGAGAATGTGATAAGGTGTTACTGTATCTCTACGTTGTAGCAGTGGTTATGAGCTGAGAGCCGTGTCCACACGAGACGAAGCGCGTGGCCGAGCATTCCCGTTTAAACTTGCACTAATTTCTAGCCGAGGAGAAAATCAGCCTCCTGCTTCTTTACGCACTACAATACTGAATTTATTCCTCCAATCCAATCCAAATAAATACGGAATTGATGGGAAGGCCGCACACGGACATGGATTCTGCACTTCTTTTCTCGCGACGAATCTATGTATATTGTAAGGAGGACTGTTCCGGATGTTCCGTGTGGGCACGCACGCACGCACACGGTCGACTTTCACTCCGAATAGGTGGAGCCGTGTCCGTCTCCCAGAGGCGGCGCCGGAGTGAGGTCGCCGCCGCCGCGGAGGAAGCCAGCGTACCATCGCGCGGAGCTCCGAGCGTACCTGGTGCGGTCCTCGGCGGCGAAGTCGACACCATAGAGGCCGAAGCGGAACCTGTAGGCGAACAGATACTCGAACACGTCCATGAAGGACCACACGAAGTAGCCGCGCACGTCCGACCCGTTCCTGACGGACCCGAGCGCCGCTTGGATGTAGGCCTGCAGGAAATGTGCCCTGAACTCGTCGTCGTACAGGAAGCCGCCGGACGGGTCCGGCTCGTGCCCAGCTCCTGGTGGTGGTGGACAGGGGACGAGAGAATCATCAGGTCAGGTGAAAGATACTGTACGTGTGCGCGACAGCTGAAATTAGGAAGAGAGTTTGGCTGGCCTCACCGTTCTCGTGGATCATCACCGGAGGGTTCCCGTACTGAATCTGCAGGTGTTCCAACACTTTGCTCAGAGCCCATGGCGCCTCATTGTTCCTCAGCCCAAGTTGACGCTCCTGCTTGCATCGTTTGCACGCACACGACGAGAAATTGAAATCTTTTTCAGCCGCCCGCGCGCAGAAACGACAGCGATATGTCTGTCTGGGCAGGAGTTCTAGTGTGGTTTTTGTGTGAACTCACCTGGTGGTTCCTCATTGTGCTCTGAAACGGTACTGCAAAATTGTAGTGGTTGTTATACAATAAGAACGAAAGAGACTACTGAAGCCAAGTTTTGGGGATTAAAGCATGAACACAACTAATAACAAATGCTAGAGTTGTTAATTAGTAAATTACGTGTGACAAAGTTGATAGCGGCGTCGCCGTAATAGTCTCTGAGCTCCCGTTTGAGCTGGCCCAGGTCTGCTTCAACCAAGAGTGCACCGTACTGGTTGATCCCAACGAAGTCGAATGACCCGCGCACCATGGCCGACTCCTGCGCCGTCAACACCGGCAGCCTTGACCCCACGTTCCTCCTCATCACGGGTGGATAGTCGCCGTACACCAAGGGATGCATGAACCTAACAACAACACCTAGGGCTAATTAGTTATTTTGTGATTAGGAGTGCAACAAATTCAGTTGCCTGCTAGTGTATCTGTATTCAGAATAGAACTAGTTTCAGAAATACTATTAGTATATATATAATTCACCATCCGATTGTGAAGTCATTTGCTCTTGCAGCTGCTTCTACGTCCTCCGGTTTCCGTGTGGCCGGCTCGTACCACCAGGCCAGCAATGTGAGCCCAATCCGGCCTCCTTGCTCACCCTGGTACTTGCGTCTGCAGAGGGAGACAGCCGACGCATGCGCGAGCAGGAGGTGGTGGGCGACGGCGTACGGCTCCGTCGTGGAGTTGCCACGGGTGCAGGGGACGCCGAGCCCGAATGGGAAGGAGCAGCGGCGCGGCGGGAGGTAGCCTTGGTCGTAGCCGCCGAGGGGCTCGATGTTGGGCTCGTTCACCGTGCTCCAGTGCTTCACCCTGTCGCCGAAGCTCCTGAAGCACATGTGGAAGATTGTACACCTCATTGATGACTGCCGACTTGAGGAGCTCTTCCTCCATGGAAGATTGTACACCTGGAGCAGTGAAAGGAGGAGACCAACTCTGGAGAGAATTGACCGCGTGTTTGCTTCTGTGGACTGGGTCGAAGCCTTCCCTCGTCACCATCTGTGATGTTTGTCATCGGACTGCTCAGATCATGCACCTCTCTTACTACATGATGAGGACATCACCTGCTCGGATATAACCACATTGGCAACTTTTGATTCACAGGTGAAACAATTCTTTATCACGATTGTATTTGATACATTTGATGAATTGATGCTGCACCATGATGTGTGTTCATTCTCATTTTCAGAATTACTTACATGGATCAAGGGAAGGTTTGATTGCATATGAAAAGCTTGGAAGGCTGTAGTCGGGCCGTGAACGTCATCTCCACCCATCAATCGAGTTATCCCACACCTCTCATCGAAAGATCAGAAACAAACCCTAGCGGGATCATATAAGTTGGTATCAGAGCAAGGTTTATCGGTGAGAGACTTCAATCCTTCATTGTTTTTAATTTTTCCTATAGTCCGTAAAAGCCAAAAATAGTAGATTAATTTACCCACAATCCTATAAACCCTTTGAGCCTTTGCTAGCACTTTGCTTAGTTAGGGCTTGTTGAGTTTTTGGTTGCATCGGTTGTGTCGAGTTGTCGGTCTTAGTTTTAGTCCTTTAGAGTTTCGAGTTCTTATCACGCTCTAGTCACAAACTGTGTGCTACCATATAAACCTTCTGTTAGCTGAATCCGAATACATCCTTGTGTTCAAGTCTCGAGTAGGAATCTTAGTTTGTTTTGAGACCGAATCCCACGTGGTGTTGAAGTTCGAGTTGGAATCGGTTTTGTGTCCAAATTGATAGCCGTCTTGTTGTTTGCTTTTGAGTCCGAATCTGAGTACATCTTTGTGCAGCAGATGTAGTTCATATCTATACTCAACTTCTCCACGTCCAACATATCCATATTAGCTCAGCTCACTCTAGAGTTCTAATCTTGTTAAAGACCGAGTTGGAATCGTTGTGGACTCTGAATTGGTTGTTGCGCCGTGTGTTATTAAATCTTGTTGCTTTTTGCACTTGTGCATACATATCTTGGCTTGGTTTTACTCTCCAGAGAGAGAGAGATAAAAGAAAAGAAAGAAAAAAAGGAAAAAGGGGCCGTTCGTTGTGAGAGAGAGAGAAAAGAAAAGAAAAGAAAAGAAAAGGAAGAAAAGGGGCTGTTCGTTGTGCTTCTCCATTGTTTTTGGTGGTGTGTTGTGACTTCCTTTGTGTCCAGGCTCATAGCTCTAGCACGGTCTAGGCTAGGACCAAAGACAAGATACCACCGCTGAACGATTATTTAGCTTGCTTTTGTGATTAACGTGGTGCTAGTACTTCCTTGCTTCAGCCCACCTATAGCTCCACATATTTCGACTACAGACTTGATAGGTGTTGTTGTTGCAACACCGATACACTTCATTCCACGGTTGCAGACTTGTTGGTTGCCGTCACCTCCTGTTTTGCTTGGTAAGAACTTGTAAGGGCTTGTTTTAACAAGTTGAGTTTGAGAGAATTACAACCGACACATCCTAGTAGTTGATAGGAGGATACATATTTTTTTTTTTGTTTCTTGTTTTCTACTAATCATGGCGGTGTGATACGAAGATTTTTGAGTCATTGAAATTAGACCCTCATATTCGTGGATGTCATTCAACACTTGCCGGTATATGATGGTAAGTTTGATCCTAAAGCTTACATTGATTGGGAGCTAAAAGTAGATAATGAATTTGATGAGCATGACCCTGTCGAGAAACAAAAGATTTATATTGCCTCCAATGTTTTGACTGAATTTGCTTTGCTAGAATGGAAACACATTTGTAGGCACAACAAAGTTCCAAAATCTTGGGAAGACTTCAAATTTCTTTTTAGAGATGCATTCGTTCCTGCATATTATGCTGATTATTTGGTTGCAAAATTAGACAACTTGAAGCAAGATAGTAGGATCAGAAATGCATACTACCATGATTTTAAGATTTGCATCATGTTTGGTGGATTAGATGAATGCATGGAAGATGTTATGAGTAGGTTCATGAGAGGGCTCAATTCTGAAATTCAAACCTTGTTAAAGCAGCAATTTTTATAGCCATATTGGTCAATTGTTTTGTCTTGCTCTCAATGCCGAAAAGGAGATTCTATTATCTGTGAATACTTGCAAGAATGATGTGACCCATAATGTCCAAAATTTGTCCACTCTGCATGCTAATGAAGAGCAACAAATAGTGGAACCCATCGCTGATTTTCCTTTGTCACAAAATGAATTACTTGTCATTCCTTGTGATAAAGAGGACTTGTGTGTTGATGATCCTTTTACTCCTATGCCACAAGTAGCGAATAAGTGTGATACTTTTGGCTTACCATACAAATGTGTCAAGATAGGCTTTTTCATCCTATTACATGTGCACAAGATGAACTGAATTTGTTGTCCTCTTTAAATACTTTGGGTTATATTGAATTTGACATTCTATGTAATCTAAATTATCTAAAAGAGAAACTTAAATTTGATTCTAGTTTGCCAAGTTTTAATCATTGTTCGCTTCATGCAATTGGCAAATACGACAACAAAGGAGAATATTTGGTGCATAGAGTTTATATTTGCTCTAATCTGAAATATCCTTATGGGCTACAATACCATGAACGAATAGGGGCTGCACTAACACTAATAATGTCTTGCAAAGTTTTTCTAGTTTTTCCGATATGCAACAGGTAAGGCCAAAGAAGGGGAGCATTGTTGGTTGTGGCCATGCAAAGATAGTCGCCGCTCCATGCTCCAACATCAAAGCAAGCACCTTTGAATACCATTGAGCAAGTCGAGGACGACTTGCGCAAGAAGGGGAGAATGATGAGGACATCACCGCTTCTGGATATAACCACATTGGCAACTTTTGATTCACAGGTGAAACAATTCTTTATCATGATTGTATTTGATACATTTGATGAATTGATGCTGCACCATGATGTGTGTTCATTCTCATTTTCAGAATTACTTACATGGATCAAGGGAAGGTTTGATTGCATATGAAAAGCTTGGAAGGCTGTAGTCGGGCCGTGAACGTCATCTCCACCCATCAATCGAGTTATCCCACACCTCTCATCGAAAGATCAGAAACAAACCCTAGCGGGATCATATCACTACAGTTATGCACTGAGTCTTGGGCTAAGCCGCGGTTTCGCTTTGAAGCGTTCTGGGTACGCCTGGATGGGTTCACTACTGGAAACTACGAGTTTCCCTAGAGTTCAAATTCCTAGGAAAAAGCCTTAAAACCATAGGAACCTGATCCCCTACTGTATTTCGTAGGGAAACAGTCCTAGGGAACATGTTGACGAAAAATAGGAAGGTGCCCTACAGTTTGTCTGGGAACCGTAGGGGATTCTGGTTTCCCTAGGAAAAAGGCTCCCTAGGGAACCTGCTGCGCATGCTGACACAAGAACACAAAACCAACGTGTAAAGTTTGTCCCTAGAACTTAAGTTCCCTAGGAAACTGATCTGTAGGGAAATAAATCTGGCATGGCACCATATTTGACCTCAAATAATTCTAATGATTTCATATACAAAATTTAAATTTGAACACGTTGACAACCATCAACAATAATTTAATGCATTCACTCAAAATAAAGGCATTTTCACATTACAATTATGGTGTTCACTCGATAATAGTCATCCATCTAACAGCTTAATCACTAACTCAAATGGAGTTGTCTAATCCATGCTAGTTTTGGCAACAGAATATAGGTGCCATGTTTTGGCGACAAAAGATAAGTGCCATGTTTTGGCAAAAGATAAGTTTTCGTAAAAATGAAAACTCGCTTGGTTGGGAGGAGAGTAGTTGCCACCACCGCTTGTAGTTCCTGTGATTTTCATGGCCACGGAATCTTCCTTGAGCAATCCTACTCAATGTTTCTTCAGACTTTCTATCCCAAAGACAAGAGCCACCAAAGACAAGCCTATTCAATTGAACAAATGGGATTTTATTAAATATAAGTGGAAACTTCATGGTAAACGCTTATGCCAAAAAATAGGTTCAAAGATAGCATTTGAAAATAGGTCTCACAAGACTAGCCGAGATGTGTACAACAGTTAACATTAATAAATAAAAGATGGAAGCACACCATGTAATGGAAATTGGAAATCAAGATGCTAATGCTATGGCGTACATGTATTTTTGCTAGAAGAATCGCACTCATTTGCAACTACAGCCATCGTGCACGTGAGAGAGACAGAACAATGGATAGAAGGCAAATGGTGCAAAGAAAGCAATTTCTACAAATAATCTGCAATCAAACATATAGTATAGTAATACGCTAATGCAGGGCAATGTAGCAGCATACACTTCTACAAATAATCAAATAAGCATGCCTCCTTCAAACCAGCAATTATACAAAGACAACACACAAAAAGCAGACAATTAGACTTACATCATTAGGAGATGGATTTGAAGATGGTACATCGGCATACACAGGAGGCATGGGTGGTACATCGGCATACACAGGAGGCACAGTGGTGGAGGGATGGGAGCGAACAGATGTGACAGTAAACCATTTACCTCAAAGAACTCTCTACAGTTCAATAATCAAATGTATATGTATACTGATTAACATGTAACTCAAGTGGCAATAAGATGGATAGAAAAAGGATGCATGTGAGACGTCACCTCCATAAATTTTTGCATGCTCTCAGTGTAAGCATGTACCATTGTACTCCACGCCGACACATTTTGGGCATATTCCTTGGCCACACGATCATCATGAGCTTCCTTCTTAATCGCTCATCTTCCTCTTGGCGTTGACGCCTAGCACCATTGCAGATTCACGACTTCTCCTTAAGTCGTGGAGGACTTCTTTGTCATTGACCATCCCATTAAATGTAGCCCATTTTCCATGTGGGCGCCACAAGAGCATTCATAAAGAGCTCTAACATC